TTGCATGGGCACCTCATGAACTAGGCCTCTGCTTGGCTTGTGGATCTTCTGATGGGAATATCTCAGTCTTTTCTGCAAGGGCTGATGGTGGTTGGGACACCTCCAGGATTGACCAAGCCCACCCAGTTGGAGTTACATCAGTTTCATGGGCACCTTCCATGGCTCCTGGTGCTCTGGTTGGGTCTGGTATGCTCGAACCTGTCAACAAGCTGGTTTCTGGTGGGTGTGATAACACAGTGAAGGTATGGAAGCTTTATAATGGGGCCTGGAAGATGGATTGCTCTCCTGCCCTCCAAATGCACACTGACTGGGTTAGGGATGTTGCTTGGGCACCCAACTTGGGGCTTCCAAAATCCACAATTGCTAGTTGCTCACAGGATGGAACAGTTGTTATATGGACTGTGGCCAAGGAAGGGGAAAAGTGGGAGGGTAGGGTTTTGAAAGATTTTAAGACACCAGTTTGGAGAGTCTCGTGGTCTCTCACTGGAGACTTGTTAGCTGTGTCTGATGCAAATAACAATGTAACTGTCTGGAAAGAAGCTGTGGATGGCGAGTGGCAACAAGTCAGTGTAGTTGAGCCATAGTTTTCAAGTGAAACTGTTATAAGTCTTTCATTGGTTATTTTAATGGTCTTGTCCATCTCGGGAACTTGTCTGGTTAGTATAAACTATTTTCACAAATTTTCACAAATTGATGTTGAATATTTGATTTGTATGGTTGGTTTGGTTACTATTGTTTCTTACCAAACAAAAGAGTTGTAGCAAATGAGGATTATTTTTAATTGTAGCTATATATCTCAGCATCGCGTTCGGATACTGTTGAGTGGTTCAGCACTTGCTGTAATATGGTAAGCTTCAATGTCTGGTTACATTTTGAAGAAGTCATTTGGGAGAGAGTAAATAAATATGTAAAAGGTAGCCATAAAGTAAGTAACTAGGTTGATGTGAATTAGTTGTGATCCTGCTGGTTAAATTCCTGATTATGGTTATTGTTTGTTTGTCCAATTCTAAGTTGGGTAATAGATAAATTTATTTGCATTAAATTATGAGTTATCTTAGAATATATTTTTTATTTTTTCTTTTAGTTTGGTCTCTGAATTTCTCATTGTCTGAAAATGTAAATTTCTTTCAGTCCTATTGTGATACAAAAAAAAAAAAAAGACGTAAAAACATACTAATTTCGTTAATAATTTAAGAATTAAAAAAATAATATTCAAATTTTATAGAAAACAACATATGAGCTGTTAAACCCAAAAAGAATTTCATGTATCTGAGCATATTTAATAATTTAATTGATTTTAATTTTTATTTGATGATTAAAATTAGAAATTAGTTTTCGTAAATTATTATAAAAATTACAAGAATCATTATGATACAGCAACATATATATATATTTATATATTTATTACATGTCTTCTCAGCATATAGTTGTGTATAAAATTTACCGTTTAAATACTTTTTATCTCATTATTTTAATAAAT